TGATAGGGTCTCACTTTTTAGCCTTGCATGTCCTGGAACTCACTATACAGATCAGGCTGGCTTCAAACTCAGCAGAGATCTACTTGTTGCTGAACGCAAGTAACTCAAATGGGCCCAGTGGTAGCAGTGCATTCCTCACTATCCGCCCTAGTGTTCTGGGTCTTTGAATGAAAAGTGTATGTGTGTGCACACGCACAACACACACAGGCACACGCAGCTTTATATTTTAATATGCCTTAAACAGCTCAATGGCTGGGCTGCTTCCAAAGTTCCAATTGGCTAACACACTCCTTTCCGATATTCCTGAGTTATTACTTACCATCTTGGCTGCCCCAGACCCAGACCTACAGCCCTGAGTTCCCCAGCATCTACATGATGGCTACGTTCTCTGTCCGGCACACTTCAGGCGTGGCCTCTACTCTTTCCCCGGCATGATGGCTATCTCCTGCTTCTTCCTCAGTCCCTTGCCCGGGAATCCTAAAGTCCCTTCTCTGTCTCCCTGCTCAGCTAGCCGCTGGCAACTTTATTTACCAGTCAAAATCAACTGGGAGCAGGGTCCTTCAGCTTCTTATTTGCAGACGTGCTGATTCTCCTGCAGTTTTGGGGACCAAATTAACATAATATGTACAGCATTAGACCAAATCCACAACATCTTCTACCTCCCAAGTACTGGGATTAAAAGTGTGTACCAATATTCTCAGCTAATGTGATGCTCTTAGTTAGTTTTATTTTTAATATTTCTTTCTATATTTTTTTATATTTTAATCAATTCTTTTTCCTTTCCCAACTCTTTCCTATTTCATAACTTACCCAACTTCATGTTCTTTCTCTTTCTCCAACAATAAAAATCCAAGAAACACAACAAAACTCAGAAAAACTAAAAGAAACAGAATAAGACAAGAAAACAATAAAGCAAAGTACACAAACAACAACAAAAACTCCATGGAGTCTGTTTTGTATTGGCCATCTACTCCTAGGCTTGAGACCTGCCCTGGAGCGTGGGCATAAGTGACACTTCATTGGAGAAAACTGATAATCCCTTTTCGAGCAGGTATCAATTGTAAATAGCTTCTTGGTTAGGGCTGGGGCTTTATGTTCACTTCCTTTCTCAATGCTGAAAGTTTTTCTGATTTGAACTTGTGCAGGTCTCGTGCATGCTCTCACAGTCTCTGAACTCATAGATAGATGAGTCCTGTTATGTCTGGAAGACATTGTTCCTTGGAGTCATCCACTACCTCTGCCTCTTAAAATCTTTCCACTTCCTCTTATACATAGATCTCTGAACTTTGAGGGTAGGGATTTAATAAAGATAGCCCATATGTGGATCTTATCCAGGGCTCTAAATGTTCTAGTCTCTCACTCTCTGACCATTGTCCAGTTGTGACTCTCTTTGTTAATTACCGTCTGCTACAAGAAGAAGCTTTTCTGATGAACGTTGAATGATGCTCTGATGTACATTAGGAATTGCTGCATTGCTGTGTTCCTTTAATAGAATGATCGTAGGTTCTCCCCTAGGCCCATAACCTATGAGTGTGAGCTTCTTGACTGCTTTAGCAGGGTCAGGTATGAGCTCCAACTAATGGAGTGGACCTTAAAAATAATTTTAAAAAGTGGTTGGTTATTCCTGTAACATTTGTGCCACTATTATACCAGTATGTCTTCCAGGCAAGACTCTGTTGTAGGTTGCAGGCTTTGTAATTGGGTGATATTGGTAATTACCTTTCTGGTAATGTTCAAGAATACTTTCAGTACCATGGACACTAGTCAATAGTCAGGATTTATAGCTTTGATCTGGACACTACCTCAGTTTCTATTTGCTTGACATAAGTTGTGTCTTCAATAATAGGGCCTAGCCATCAGGCTATAGAGAATAACCAATAACTTTGACAATAGCTTTTAATGTTTAGAGGTGTCTTTGAGATCCCTTTGGAAAAGTTCAACAAAATGTAATCCATTCTTGTCACTGGAGGTTTTATTTGATAACATAAGATGTTTAATTGAGGCATTGTCTTTTTCATTTTCAGCTGACTCCATTGAAGTTTATTTCATATGTTATAAAATATTTATTATATATATATGTATATTATATATAATGTGCAATTATATATAATATATATGCTATATTTGGAAGCTTCTAGGTTTCCATATGGGCTTATAAAGGCTTTTAGTGTTAGGTGTCCCTCTGTATTCCCTCCTTTATTCTGCATTCCCATTCTCCTTCCCATTTGATCCTCCTACTTTCCTCTTTATCTCTTTATAATACTGTATTCTGTTTCCTCTTCCTTGGAAGACACCTCCCTCCCTGGTCTCTTGCTAGCTATCTAAGCATTATGGTTATTTGGACTGAAATATGTATATCTAAACTTAAAAGCCGACGTTCACATAAAAGAGAAAACATTCAGTATTGGATCTAGGTTTCCTCACTCATGATGCTTGCTTCTAGCTCTATCTATTTACCTGCAGATGTCATTATTTCACTTATCTTAACAGCTGAAAAATGTGTTTATTGGTTGATGGATGTCTAGGCTGTCTGGAACTTATGGCTATTATGACTAGAGCACCAATAAACATGGATGAGCAAGTATCTCTGTATAGCATGTTGAGTCTTTAGGATACATATTCAAGACAGAGAAAGCTGGGTCTTGTGGTAAATTGGTTTTCCTCTTTTTGAGGAGCCTTCACACTGATTTCCACAGTGAGTATGCCTGTTTGTACTCTCACCAGCAATGAGTAAGTGTCCCCTTTCCCTGCATCCTCACCAGCATTTGTTTGATTGATTTTGGCCATTCTGACTAGGGTGAGATAAAATGTCAAAGTTGTTTTAATTTTCTTTTTTTTTATCATTAACAATAACTTTATTCTGTAGCAGGACATTTTTCTACTGCTTCAGCATTTTCCTCTCAGAGAACACAAGTTTTAGAACTGGATCACTTGGCCCTTTCTCTTGTCGCCTCCCAGTTCAAAATGCTTGCATCTCAGCCAGCATCCTCTTGGATCTGCAGTTGGGATCAACACACTCAAGCCTGAGCACAATCTTCTTTGTGGTTTTGGCCTTCTTTCGAAAAATTGGCTTTGTCTGCCCACCGTAGCCACTCTGCTTTCGATCATAATGCTGCTTTCCTTGGGCATACAGGGAATCCTTGCCCTTCTTATACTGAGTCACTTTGTGAGGCTGATGCTTGCCACATTTCTTACAGAAAGTCCTTCGGGTTTTAGGTACGTTGACTGTCTTTGCAGTAGAAGTGTCTGCGATGAAAACGTGAGACCGGCCGCAACAATCCCCACCTCAACCACCTGGTTTTAATTTTCTTGGTTGCTTAGGATGTTGAAGATTTTAAAAATGTTTCTCAGCCATTTGTGTTTCATTTTTGGAAAATGGTTTAATTCTGTATCCCATTTTAGAATTGTGGGTTTTTTTTTGATGTTCAGCTTTGTTTAGTTCTTATATATTTTTAGATACTAATTCTCTATCAGATTTCGTATTCTGTAGGCAGCTACTTTGGTTGAATGATGGTATCTTGTGCAGAAGCTTCATAACAAATGGAGTCCCAGTTGTTAATTGCTGGTCTTAGTGCCTATGTGGTTGATGTCCTGATCAGAAGTTGCTTTCCTGTGCCTATGACTTCAAGCCTATCCCCTGCTCTCTCTTCTGTAAGATCCCTATATCTAGTCTTACATAGAGCTTCTTGATCTATCTGGAGTTGAGTTTTGTGCAGGGTGATTGATGGATATGGATCTATTTTTATTCTACATGCAGGTATCCCGTTTGACCAGCATTTTTTGTTGGAGATGCTCTCTTTTCTCCAGTATGCAGTTTTAGTTTCTTTGTCAAAAATTAGATGTCTGTAGGTATGTGGAATTATTCCTAGGTCTTCAGTTCTGTTGATCAGCATGTCTTTTTATGTCAGTACCATGTGTCTTATATGACTGATGCTCTATAATACAGTTTGAAATCTGGGCTGGGTGATGCCTCTAGCAGTTCTTTTGTTGCTCAGGATTGTTTTGGCTATCCTGGATTTTGTGTTTCTAATGTAATATTCTTAATACAGAAACACACTTTAACTGATAAAATGGACTTCAAGAATTAGAAAAGAGATTTATGTGAGTTTCAAAGCAGAAAGAGGAAATGACATGTACAACTGAAAAATCAGACTGCCTAAGAAATTTGTCTTTTGTTTTCTTAATTGTATTTCTTGTTTTTAGGAACCATATAAACAATGGGTTTCTTTGTGACGTTCTCATACATTCACATCATTGTACTTTGCACATGTTCACTCCATCACCCCATCCTTTGTAGATGGCTGCTTTCCTCTACCAAGTATTTCCCATTAGTATTTTGTTTGAAAAGCCTTGCATGTACAGAAAGGTAGACAAAATGGTACTACCAGTTACTGTCAAAGATTTATTACCTGATGCAATTTTCCACCTTTTTGTGTCTCCTAGATACAGATATTTATATGTGTTTTGATTTTTGGTATTTTCATTTTTATTTTTTCTCAACTATTTGGGGTTAGATACATAGAGATGCTTTACAAATTTTATTGGGATGTTTTTATTTGTGGGAAGAAACAGAACTTTAAATCTCTTCACAAATGAGTCTCACCTTGGGTTAAAGTTCATAACTACTGCCAAGCTACTTATTATAACATGAACATTTGTTAGATTATATAAACAACTAGGGCTGTGTAGATGGGTCAGCAGGTAAGATCACTTGGTGTATAAGCGTGAGAACTTGAGTTTAAATTTTAGCACTCATGTAAAAAATCTCACATGGCAGTATGCCTGTATGTTCCCCAGTGCTGTGGGGAGTAGGGACAGATGGATTCCTGGGACTTTCTGCTTACCTGCTGAGCTCCAGGTTGAGTGAGAGACCATGTCTCAAGAAAATAAGGCAGAGAGTGGAGAGCAGAACACTCAGTGTTCTCTCATCTTCGTATGTGCACAAGCATGCATATCCATACCTATTTGCATATAATACCACATACATACTCAGGCACATATCTTAACTTACGTAAACAACCTCTCAGATTTCACTGTAATATTGTTAAAGTAGAAACAGTATTTAACCATGGTGGGATTTCCTTCATGGATGTCACTGGTTTTGAGGGAAAGGTTGCCCCCTCCCCCTCTTTTTTTTTTATTTTTTATTAAAATTTGTTGATGAGAAAGAAGTGCTGAGTAAGACTGTACTGTTTATGATCATAAAGTCTGAAGCAGGAAAAAAACATGCAGGTTACTCACAAAGAAGATGTCTTCCTCTATTTGAAAAAAACATAGTTGAGAATTTGAAATTTGTGCATTGATTTCCATTTTTGTTATTTTGGATGGATGGAATTCTAAATAATCATTCTTTTTTTTTTTTTTTTTTTTTTTTAGTTAATGTTTTTAAAAAAAAACAAAAAAAAAAAAAAAATAGAGGAAATTCACAGTAAATATCGTAAGTTGTGAAATGTACTTATTGTAAAGGACTTATGTTGCTGTTTTATATCTGTAGTAATTTAAAAAATGGTGGTTATTAATGTTCAAATAATCTGGTTAATGTTGCTTCAGAAACTGGGTTTCATTGGAGTGTCTATGTGGTGCCTGCCTTTTAAGATCTGACTAACATTAAGCTTTGAGATCATTACCACTGAGAACTTGGCAAACCTGAGTTAATTCTCAGAAAACATATGAGAAGATGGTGCAGACATAGAAGCATGTGGGACTGCATAGTTTCCCAGGCCTGCAATGACAGTTCTTCTGTACGGTGGTATAGCACTTCTGTGGCTGGAGATTTGTGTCAAAAATCGGTTTCCTTCTCTTGTTAGCATCCTCTCACACTTTATCATTTCCTTTCCTGCAGTGGTCTCTCCGTGTATATCTTTGCCAGGTGACACCTTACTGTTTTTGTTAACTGGGTAATTGTTATTTCTTTACTTAGTTGATGGTTTCATTTTTTGTTTGTTTGGTTTTTTTCCTGAGACTGAGACAGAATCTTTGTCTGTGCCTGAGTCTCCTGGCTATTCCTGAACTTGCTATGTAGACCTGGCTAGCTTAGAACACACAGAGATCTGCCTGCCTCTTTGTTAATTTTAATTTAATTTAATTTTTGCAGTGCTTAGGATTGAATTTAAGGTTTTGCATGTGGTAGTCTAGCATTCCTGGAAGAGTTACAGCTCTAGTCTCAAATTTAATGAGGGCTGAAATTGCTTATTGCTCTGGGTCCTGGCTGATTCTTCTCGTTCTTCCAACCTTCTTCTCTCTTCCTCCCTCTCCCCATCCCTTTCTTTATCTCTTTTTGTTTATTGAGACTGGGTCAAGTGTTACTTGGCAGGTCAGTAATGTAGCAAAAACAAGACAAAAAAAAAAAAAAAAACAACAACCCAGAAACAAAACAAGCCATAAAATTTTCTCCCTCTCTAAAATGTAAAAATTAATGTGCAAGTCTACTCTTAGGTGAGATAACAAACCCGACTTACTTTCCTCCATTAAAAAAAAATGGATTTGATGAAATAATTAGTCAGCATTTGTTTTAGATGTTGGCAGACAGGTAGCACAGGACCGTGTGAGTGGAAACAAGATGGAAGCCCCATAGTCCGCTAGCAGTTTTCAGGTAATGGGATGGGAGCCGTTATTACCCTGGGCTGAGACAGACATCCAAGTTCTTGGAAGCTAAGGCAGTCAGGGTTTGTGGCTCCCTGAGTACTAGATGATAAGCATGCCTTGACGTGCCCATCTAGGTTTCACTATTTAATTTTGTCATTTCTTGATGCCATAGGATGGGATCGTATGATATACTTGTCTGCATGACTGTATCTTTTATTTATTTTTTGATAAATTAGCTTAATCTTTTGCTGCTTAAAAAAAAAAAAAAAGGTGTTTTCCTGGCAGTGGCGGTGTATGCTTTTAATCCTAGCTCTTCAGAGGCAGAGGCAGGTAAATATTTTACTTTAGTAAAGGATCTATGTGATTTTTAATTGTGAAATTATGACACTATTACTGTATTTTGAACAGTTTGTCAATGTTTATCGACACTGTCATTCAATAGTATAGTGTGTATACTAGCCAGGGCAGTAAGACAAGAGAGAAGTAATACATAGATTTGAAAGGGAAACAATAAAACTTGTAAATTAGAGGTGACAGATTTCCTTTACTGTGGTATGAGCCATAAAAGAGAATATGTAACTTCAGATTACAAGAGTTTAAGACATTTGCTCTTGAAAAGAAATAAAACCAAAACACAACAAAACCAAAAAAACCCAACCATTGATTAAGATAAAGTATCTGTAAATCTTAGTTAGGTCTGACAGAGTATAATGCATTATATAAAAAACTCTATAATGTGGTAAATGCCACGTTAAGAAATGGGTAAGCATGTGAAAAGACTCTAAAGAAGATACTCAAATGCTTCAAGAATTACATGAAAAGATAGTTTCATTAGTCTGAAAAGATGTAGTTTTATCAATCACTAATCTATTGTGAAATACAAATTAAAACTTTAACAATGAAATTGTGTATTCATTGAAGGGATACTGGTCAGGATGAACAAGTATCTAGAAACACCATGTGGTGAGTCCATGTGTGGTAAAACGAACTGGTCATTGAAGAAGAGGCGCTTCTGGCTGGTGAAACCTCATGGATAAGAGTTAGAAGCATTGCTGAGAAAAGCCACTCATATAACATTCTAAAAAGACTAAAGATGTAGTGACAGAAAGCTTGTTGGTGCTACCAGGGACTGGATGTTGGGTAACAGAACTGTGAAGGGTCAAAAAGAACTCTTAGGTGGTTTTAGTCAAGACAGTGTACATAGCTACTAAATTCATGTGTCATACATGAGAAGTCTGTTTTTTTTTAATTAATGAGAAGCATGTTCTAATTTTTACAAATAACTTTAAAATGTTTTTCTTATGTATTTTCTGAGTGTGTGTACATGGAGATGACCATATACCCCAAAACGTATATAGAGGTCAGAGTGGGAGTCTGTTCTCCCCTCCCACTACATCTCCCCCCCCACCCACCCCCAGGGATTAAACTCAGGTGTCAGGCTTGTTGGCAGGTGTCTTTACCTGCTGAGGTATCTTTTCTGTAAACATCTTTAATGTTAAGCTGATTTTCATATTGGTGTCTACATTTGATCTTTTCCATGGGCTGTTTTGGTTGATGGATAGGAGAGATACCTGGCTTCACCAGAAGGGTAACTGGGAAAATGAAGCATTTTATAAATTTTTGGGAAAGGATACATATTATGCTAAAATTTGATCAGCATTATTTCAGAAAAGTTAAGCAAAATTTGAAGTCATATCGATAAGTTTGTTTTTCTACACCACACTATGTTAAAATTCACTGATCTGCCCTGTTCTTTCAACAGATCTTTCCTATGTGTGTGCTTTGAAATATCATTTGTTAGTTATTTGGTATATATTGGCTTATTGAGTTCAAAATATTTGCAAATTGCCTTCTTTAATATCACCACCAGTTTCATCAGAAGAGGTAGTGATTAGGATCATAACATTCAATGTCACATTCTCCTTATTGAGAAGACTTGATTCTCTCTTTGATAGGAAATAGTGACGTTGATTTTCCTTGGCTTTCTTGTCCTGTCATTCACTTCTGAGAATATGTGAGCCAGATAACCAAGTGTGATGACCATGCTTTGTTGTGTTTTCACTTCAAGATGTTATCCTGAGCCAGATATGGTAGCAAGCAGGAAGTTGAGGCGGGGGATTGGATGCTTGATGGTAGCCTGATCTATATTCCAGGACCTGCCTCCAAAAGAGAAAAAGATTGCTGTGCTGGCTAGTTTTATGTCTACTTGACACAAGCTAAAGTCATCTGAGAGAAGGGAACCTCATTTAAGAAAGTGCCTTCATAAGATCTGGCTGTAGGCAAGCCTGTAGGACATCTTAATTAGTGATTGATTTGGGAGGGTGATGATGCCATCCCTGGGCTGGCTGAGCAAGTCATGAGGGGCAAGTCATTAAGCAGCACCCCTCCATGGCCTCTTCATTAGCTCTTGCCTCCAGATTACTGCCCTCTTGAGTTTCTATCCTGACTTTGTTCAGCGATGACTAGTGATATGGAACTGTAAGCCAAATAAACCCTTTCCTCCCCTAGTTACATTGGCCATGATGTTTTAGTACATCAATGGAATGCTAACTGTACCCCATTAAATTAATGGCTGACTTAGCTCACAGAGTCTCAGTGCTTTGATAGTTTTTATGATGGAGGAGTTTGGAAAGGCATCTTATATACTCAAGAGCCAACATCTAATTAAATTAATTATTTTTCTTACTATTATACCAAAGAGATGTGTGTAGGTCTGTGTGCCATCTATTTATATATGTATGTAGAGAGTTGCTGGGGATCACACATACTAACCAGGTACCCTGCTGAGTAGCTAGTATGCTGCCCACCATCGAGATAGTTTTAGTCAAGTTGAATTTATTTTTTTCTAAGTAGTACTCTATGCATGCTGAGAGAAACAGCATCATTTCCTTGACATATGCTAGGGCACTAGATATTTCCTCCACCGTGGTGTCATACCATTCATATATTATGTCATTGTAATGAGAAAGAACAGATGGGGGCTAAAGTGATGGCCCAGTGGGTAAAAGCATTATTTATGCAGAAAACCCAGGTTTAGTTTCCAGCACCCACATGGAGACTAACAACTGTCTGTAACTCTATTTTCAGAGGATCTAAACCCTTTCCTGGCCTCTTTAGAAACTGCACATATGTAATGCACAGACATAGGTGGAGGCAAAACACCCATACACGTAAAATAATAAATCTTAAGGAAGAGATAACATCTTAGTATGGTTGTGACAATACGTATCACCTCATAGTCCTTGAAGGAAAACTTTCAGGGATCCTTCGCTGTACTGTACTCTGAAATACCCTCTGAATACCAGTTCCCACAACTAGTCAAACCACGGTTAGAATGTAGATGATGGAGAGGTGTCAAAAGTGTCCCGGGATAGATTTGAGGCAGAAGGAGCACTTGGAGATACAGGATAAGCAGTTAGATGAATCATGAGTTGTGCCCACAGTTCATTGCTTCTGTTGCTGGCAAGCTATGTAAAGGCCAATAATTGGGGGATTGGGGATAGCAAACCTTGACAGTGTACTCTGCTCTACAGTGGTGTCATGGAGAGAAGGTGTCAGAAGTGAGACCATTCGTAAAGTAGATAGGATAGCTCTTTGGGGAAGTATTACCATGTCAGGGAGAGTAGAAAAGTGAAGTAGCTGACTTGAGTTTGGGGTCAGGGGAGATTTTTTTTAAGTTAGTTGTATAAGTTGAGTGCTTATCTTAGTGACTTTTAGGCTTTTGGAATGTAACTCATAGCCAGAAATGCTTCGTATAACACTACTAACTAGATGCACTTATTACAGAAACAATTTTCACAAAACTCTATTTCTCTTTACCGTATTTGGTGTACGCTGATGCACTCCATTCTGCCCTCTGTTTCGTTAAGAAATGAAAAGCCAGTCCCTGATCTACTAAGTTTTTTTCCTCCCACAATCTGTGATACTGGTTTAAAAAAAGATTCTGTATATGGTGGGGGCATAAGCTAGGGGTTGTCCTTTAATTCTAACACAGTTAATTGTTTTGTGATAATGGCTAGGAAGGTAGAGCGTGTGCACACAGAAAGGAGTGCCGGTGCTTAGAAGAAGACAGCGTCTCTTAAGATAAGCCCATATGCTTTTTGGTCCTGCGAGGTCAACTAAGAGGGTCCATAAAGAGGCTGTGCTGGGGTTTAACTGAAGAGCAGAACATGAGCCACAGTCCTTTTGAGTTGGTAGACATGGACTTGTTCATCAGTTCCCACAACTAGTCAAACCACTTAATTTTTTTAAAGGGTTATTTATTTTATGTGTATGAATGTTTTGCCTGCATGTCTGTCTGTCTGTGTGCCACGTGCATACCCACATAGGTCAGAAGAAAGGGTTGGATTCCTAGAACTGGAGTAATGAATGGATATGAACCACTAGGTAGGTTCTGGTAACCAAACCTTCCTCTGGAAGAACAGCCAGTTTTGTTAACTACTGAGCCATTGTTACACCCTCAGATCCGCTTAAAAATTTTAAGAGGAAAATTCAAGACACATAACTCAAACGCATATTTTAGATTCAAGAGTGTTCCTTGCCAAATAGCAGATCCCCTAAGATAAGTGGAATGATGAGTGGGAACAATTTTATTAGTCATAATCTGTTGGCATCATTTATTTTCTCTGCAGCAATCTTGAACTTCTTGAACCAGAGCCAGAGTGGTGGCTGTTAGTTTTTGTTTCCAGCCTTGCCGCGGGGTAACCAAATTCAAGCAAGAAAATGACACTTTATAAATCTGAGCTTTTAGTACTCTAGGGGTAAAGTCATTAAGCCCTTCTAAGTGTTAGTTTAATTACTTCAGGGATTTTTTGAACAAACCTTAAGTCACAATCCAAATGATTCCTGGTGGCTTAGAAAAAGAAAAAAAGAAGATGGCTGTGGTGGTTTCTCTTATCAGTGTGATAAAATCTAAAATCACCCCTTAGTTGGGCCTCTGGGAATGACCCTGAGCATATCTTTATTGTGTTGAAGACCTGCCCATGGTGAGTGACACCTGGTTGGAATCCTAGATTTAAATTTTTAATAAAGATGTATTGTTATGTGTAAAGGCCCCCTGAATAGGGGAGACCCCCACTCAAGCCACAGGAGATTACGGCTACCCAATGACTCACGAGACACCAATCTTGATGCAACCAGCATGAGGTTTAATGATTCCAGTGTACTGGGGTTCCCTCACATGCAAGCAAGAAGAGAGAACCCTGAGTTGGAGCTAAGAATAGCTTTTATACGGTCTAGGGGATAGAACAGAGAAACTGTGACTAGGCACAATATGATTGGCAGAACAGTGTGACTTTTAAACTGATTGGTCTTTGGGGAATGAGGTGGTAAGGACCTCCCTTGTCTGTCTACGTGCTCTGGGCCTTCCTCACCCACAGGTGGGGCCCCCCCCCCCCCCCCGTGGTCTGAGGAATGTTAATCAATGTCTCCCTCCTCTGAATGTTAATCCAGCAAGTGTCCTCTGACTAAGGAATGTGCCCCTCTGGGATGTGTCCTGGGACAGTGAGGTTCTTTTAATTTTAAATTCAAACTGAGACCTGAAAGTCTTACTTTGTGTCTGTGCACTGTGTGTGTGTAGTACCTTCAGAGGCCAGATATGGGCATCAGATCCCCTGGAACTGAGTTATTAGCCGTCATGTGAGTGGTAATTGAATCCAGGTCCTTTAGAAGAGCAGCTAGTTCTCTTAACTCTGAACCGTCTCCAGCCCCATGGATCCTAGATTTTATGAGTGCTTCAGAGGGAGCTAAGCAGCAGCACTGTATTCACTGTTCATTTGTTTCCCTGTTGTGAGTGACATGTGGCCAGCTGCTTCAGGCTCCTGTCACCTAGACTGCCCTGAATAAACCTTTCTCCCTAAGTTGCTTTTGTCAGAATTTTATCACAGCAATGGGAAAAGAAACCAAGATAGTAAGCCTATACTTGGCTTAAACTCCCCGTGCCTAACAGCAGCTCCAGAACGATGACGGTAGTGTGTCCATGCGTGATGGGAGCTGGGGAAGTAGATGAGGTGATTTTCTTTACATGCACGGAATCAAAGAGGTCATGACAGAAATTATTGTGTCCTTCTGTGGAGACTCTTACCTGCTTCCAAAGAGTTTAAACTCCCGACGTGGCAGTGCAAACCATTTGTAATTCCAGTTCCAGCAGATCTGACACCCTCTTCTGACCTCTTTGGGTGCACTTGTGAATGTAAAGAATTCCTGACACTTAAATAAGCTTAAAATAAGGATAAATAAATATTTTAAAAATTACAAAAATAAAAATAGAATTTTAAAGTCTGATTGAAGATTGGGAAGATGGTTTTGAGGTATACCAGAGAGAATCAGTGGTACAGTCTAACTTGTGGATACGGAATATAAGAAAGGGTTTTACACGGAGGCAAAATGGCTTCTTCCATAGCGAGGTAGGATGTCAGTTGAGCCGATTCTCTGGTTGAGGGAATTTTACATCCCTATAGAGAATTGTTTTCGATGGCTGTTGGTTACTTGTACTTTGCAGAAGGTATTGAATGGCTAGAATCCTGGAATGGTAGCTCTGGGCGTGCCTGTATAGACCCTCACTCCTGTGCACTCCCTGGTCCTTTGTATTGTGCTAAATGTAGAAGAAACCAGTGTTAAACAGTGTATTGTCAGCTATGTGTGGGAAATTCTTAAAATTTTGTTTGTGCCATTATAGTATTTTTAAAATATGTGGGCATTGCAGACAGTATTATTTTGAATCTTGGTTACTGGTAAGTAAGGTACAATTACAGCTGCTGAAAACATGGTTCAAACTCCTAGCCTTTGTGCTTGAACACCGAGGGTTCTCGGGAGTAGATTGTTAATCTCTGTAATGATGATCTTGTGCAGTCAGGGTTATGAAATTATGTTTTGGTGTTAACATGGTAGTAAGATTGCTGTTATGAATTTTAAAACAGGAGACATTGGTGATCTGTGAGTGTCAAATGTTAAAAGTATTCTGCTAGGGAACAGAAGTGTTAGGAAAACATAAACCTACTTCCTGCAGCCTCGGCTTTTGTGTCAGTTACTGTAATCCACTCAGTCTTAGTGGTCTTGTGGATCTTGAACATTAGAAAACCAGTTTTTGAATGTATTTTGGAAATGTCAGTCACCAGTGTGTGGCACATGCCTGAAAACTCAGTATTTGGAAAGCAGAGACAGGAGGATTATGAGTTTGAGGTCTTTTGTGATTACAAAGTGAGTCCCTGCCTCACTGAAACAAAGCAAGATGGGACCAAGGGAGGAAATGGTTATCAGTCTGTATTTCATGTGCTGTGGAAAGCCCCTCCATAAAAGGGTTTGGGGAGGGAAAACCTGGAGTAGCAAATGATATCATTCATTCATGTTTGCTTTGGGGGAAGAGAAAGATACAGACTTTTCAGCTGCCCCTCAGCACTCTGTGGTCTTGGCAGTGTCTGCATTCAGTACAGGTGATTCTGCGAATGATATTGCTTAGTAGCTTGTGCACCCGATACTCAGTTTGTCATGTACAGATGCTTCACACACTCACAGTTCTTTTGAATTTCAGGTAAAAAACACCAGAATGAATTCCAGCTTCTGGTGGATCAGGCCAAAAAAGGATATAAGAAAACTGGCAGAGTTTCAAAAGCTGCAGTAATAAGAAAGGATGAACCTGCAGAAACACTGCCGTCTGAGTATATGGGTGAGACTGACTTCGAGTGTAGTGAATTTTTTTACTTTCTTTTATATTACTTATCATTTGTGTATGTGTGTGCATGCACTTGTGCACATGTGAGGAAGTTATAGAGTAACTTGTGGGGGTTGGCTCTGTCCTTCCACCATGTGGGTTTCAGTGACCAAACCCAGGTTGTCAGGCTTGGTGTCAAGTGATTCACCACTGAGACATCTGGTTGGTCCTCCTCCTCCTCCTCCTCCTCCTCCTCCTCCTCCTCCTCCTCCTCTTCCTCCTCCTTCTTCTCCTTCTTCTTCTATTATAAAAAACAAAACCAATGTCATTTACTCAAGTTATTCAGTATTTAAGGGAGTATTTTTTTTTTTAGATAAGATTAATGTAGCAGTTACTGACTATAAAGTAGCTTATTGCTTACTTTAGAAACAAGGGAAGAGTGTCCTGAAGAGATGACCCCTGAGGTCTGCTTACCTTGTAGGTATGAAGCACCCCAGTCATAGAGATGCTCTGTGATTGTCTAAGTGTGAGGATATTTTCTAAGTGTAAGATTTATTGCTGAAGATCCTAAGGCAGCCTACCTAGAAAGAGAATTATTTTTGTTGCTGAACTCTGATGCTTACTTTGGATGACGTGTTGTGATGAAGAGTCTAAAGCTTATGTAGTTGGTATGCATCACTTAGTTTTGGTCTAACTTTAAATTTAAGATTAATATTGTATTTCTGTTGCTAATGCTTTGGTCCATGAGCAAAACATAATCACAATGGGGAAATTCCTTACTACGTTTCTTAACTGTGGCAAAATGCACATAACATGTATTTTTACTAATTCATAGGTGCATAATTCATGGCTGTTAAATGCTTTCATAATACTGTTTAGCCCTCTTACTATACCCCAAACCCTTTCAGCATCCCCAGTACACTGTACACAGTGCAGCACGACACTCGCTGCTCTCCCACACATCCCTCATGATCTCTATTGTATCTATTTATATAGGATTTGCTTGCTCGGGTACCTAAGGCAAGTGAAATTATATAGTATCGGTCTGCCTATATTGGCTTATTTCTCTAGGCATAGTGTTTTTATTGTCTTGTGGCAAATATTCAAATTTCTTTCTTTTTATGGCTTTAATAGTATTCCTTAGTATGTATATACAGTGGCACATCTATTTATTGAGTTATTTTGCCTTCTTATGTTGTGAATAATGTTTTTGTATGCATTAGTTCTCAGATATCTGTTCAAGACTCTACTTTCAGTTTTTTTAAATTACATGTCTGTTGTAGTTTCATTTCTGTTGCTGTGATTAAAAGCTCTGACACGCCCCCTGCTTTCCCCCCAAAACAAACAAACAAACCTTTGAGGAGAAATGAGTTTATCTGGCCTACAATCCCAGGTCACAGTCTTTTATTGCGGGATGTCAGGGCCAGGAATTTAAAGGCAGGTCTGCTCACTGTTTCATATGGCATGACTTCTAACCAAGAGATTTATTTCACAGTCAAAGAAGGACAGCAGGAACCATGGAAGGTACTGTTTGCTCCCAGCCTCTCAGGCTAGTTTATACTTAGCTAGCTTTCTTATACAGTGCCGGGCTGCCTACCTAGGGATGCTACTACCCACAATGAGCTAGATCCTCTTACATTAATTAACAATCGAGACAGTCTCCCACAGACATGCTTACAGGCCAACGTAATCTAGGAAATTCCTCAGTTGAGGCTTTTTGTATGGTTCTAGGTTGTGTCAAATTGGTAGTTAAAGCTAACCAGACAAGGCCTCAATGGACTTTCTGGTTCAAATGGTAGTTGCAGGTTTAACCTTTTGAGGAACCAACAAATTGTGCTACACAGTGGATGCATCATTTTGCATTCCGACTGGCAGTGCATGTGTGTCTCATTTCTCTACATCCTGTCAGTACTTGTTAGCATTGTTTGTTGTAGAAACCACTTTCTAGCTATGTGTTTCCTTGTTGTGGAGACCATCTGTGTTATTCAGGGTTCTTTAGAGAAACAGAATGGATAGAACACACACACATACACACACACGAGGGGGTGGAGACCGACTGACTCATGGGGATAGGATATTTAGTGGCTTCAGGCTGTGGTTTAGCCAGTCCAAAATATCTGTCTCCTAATTGAAAGGCCAAGTTATTCAGTCCAACTAGTCTAGCTGGCTCTCAGCCTATGTTGGAAGCCCAAAGTAGTTCCTAATGCCACTTAATACCCTCAGCAACAGGGTAGATGGAGTTGCTAGAGAGCGTGAGGGCAAGCAGGGAAAAAGCAAAAAGTTCCCTTTTCTCTACCTTTTTATAATGTAGCTTATCCTCAAAAAGTGTGTCTATGACTTAGGGTATGTCTTCTTACCTTAAATGATCTGGTCAAGAAAACCCTTCGCAGGTGTGCCCAGCTACTTGAGTTTTAGTTGATTGCAGATGTAGTCAAGTTAACAACCAAGGTAGCCATCATACATTGTACAAGTGGGAAGTTATGTCACTATGATTGGATTTTTATTTTTCTAGGAAGTTCAGCATCTTTTCATGTACCTATTGGCCACCTGTTTTTCTGTTTTGGAATTTATTCAAGTCCTTTACCTACTTATTAATTGGGTGTTTGGGTTTTGATTGAGTTTTAGTTTTTTTTTTTCCTGTAGATATCAATCCTTCCTTATGTATATATGATTTGCAAATATTTGCAGACACTTTTTGTATTGTCTTTTGCCTTCTTGATAGTACCTTTCATGCACAAAACTATTTTAACTTTTTATTATGTCTAGTTTATTTTTTTACTTTTTCATTTGTTGCTTATACTTTTGTTGTTATATACATGAAGTCCTTGCCAAAGGCACTGTTGTACAAATTACCCCATTCTCATGATTTCTTCCTAGTATTTTGTAGTATCACTCTTTAGTTTTCTGGTTTTAGTCAGTCTTTGTTTTTTATCTATGGTTAGAAATAGCAACTGTCTTGATTATTTCATATGCAGATGCCCAGTTCCTATGTCTGATTGGTTTTCCTTAATAGATAGATTTTATTTAAAATTTTTCAAAAAAAGTGTCCATAGTTGGTCAGTATGTCATATGACAAATAGTATGGTTCTGTTGTTAAATCTGTTTTGTTAACTTGTCAATTATTCCTTAGTAAGCTGCTAATAGACACTTCCATTAGAATGACAAGGCATTCCCATCTCTGTTTTAAAGAAAACTTTACTTCTAAATGAATTAATCCTGAAAAATATAAGTAAGATTTCTTGTGTTATTTCTTGTGTGGGGCAGTGGTGGTGCATGCCTAGTACTTGGGAGGTGGAGACAGGTGGATCTCTGAGTTTGAGGCCACCTAATCTACAGAGAAGAGTTCCAGGGCAGCCAGGGCTACATAGAAGAAATCATGTATTGAACCCCCACCCAAAAGTATCATTTCTTATTTTATAGTTTTAGAATCAGTGTTTTTTTTTTTTAAAAACTTCTATTTTTAAAGTAGAAATAGTAACATTAAGTATTAGAAAATATAAAAGTTTATATAAAGTGTACATTAAGGTCCTCTTTAATTTTTAAAAATGTTATTTTTCCTTGTTAGCACAAGAAGATAATGTGAGCTTCCCAGATACTGTCTCAGTAACAAACCACTCTCCTCAGTCCAAGCTGGACTCCCCAGGGTTGTCGGAGCCCGAGAGACCGGATGATTCTTCTAGTTGTACTGACATTCTTCTCTCCTCAGAGTCAGATTCATGCAATAGGTAAGAAATGTGTAAAAATTGGTTCTTTTAAATTTCTGCTTTCTATGTTTCATAGTCACTTTTCTGTTTTTGTGACAAAATAAACTTTAAGGAGAAAGGATTTATTTTGGCTCATAGGTCTGGGGTTCTGGCCGTCATAAGAAAATTAAGGGTTTTTTGTTTGTTTGTTTGTTTGTTTTTTAATTTGATGGAGCTGGTTATATGACTAGTTCGGAGAGGAAGAAGGGTAAATGCTGGTGCTCTGTTCACTTTCTCTGTTTCATGGAGTCTACACCCCAGGTCAAGGGAATGGTCCTACCCACGTTTGTGGTAGGTCTTCCCATCTCAGTGAGCCTAATCAAGATGAACCCTCTTAGGTGTGTGCTGCAGGCTTGTCTCCTAGATATTTCCAGATTCTGTCACGTTGACATTCAGCATTAATCATCTGGGATTAAAGGTGTGCACCACCACCGCCCGGCAATAAAAGAAAAATCTTAAAGAGAAGATGTCTGAGAAAGACTTTAGATGAACTCCCTAAAAACTGTACGGTAAGGGTCTGTTGAGAATGTATACTCTGCTGGTGGTGCCATAGCATGACTCTATGTAGGAAGACACAACCTTAACAGTTGTTTAGCAGACATGAAGAGGCGGGGATGGAAATATTTTAGGGATACTTAAACCATTTTCAGTTATATTGTTATGCATGTACAAAAATGGTATTAAAACTCTATACTGAGGCTCCAGAGATAAGCACTGGCTGGGCAGTCATGGGGATTGGAATTTGCTCTGTAGAACCTGACTGCCAAACTGAAAATTCTATAAACATCTGTAACTCTGGCTCCAAGGATCTGGTATCTCTTTTGAACTCCACAGCAACCAAGGGGTACACATGCAAACAAAAATAAGTAAATAAAACTGATCTTTAAAAAAAATAATCCTTAACTAGGCTATGGTGGCACATGCCTTTAATCCAAGCACTCAGGAGGCAGAGGTAGTAGATCTTTGTGAGTTTGAGGACACCTTGGTCTATAGAGTCAGTTCCAAGACAGCCAGGGTTGCATAGAGAAACCCTGGCTTGAGAAACAACAACAACAACAAAATAATAATAATAATAGCAATAATAATAAAAATAAAGAAAACCCAACCTTTTATTTACTTAAGTTTAAAAAACACTCTCTGGATGTGTATAAATGAAGTTTTCTATGTGGGAGGGAAGTATTGTAGCTAAATTGTCCTCTACTTCACTCCTCCCCCACTTGTCACACAGTATGTTTTGCCTTGCTGTCCGCATTGTGTTGGAAATGCATCCCTTGAATGTGAATAAGGTTCCTAACTCAGTTCAGACATAGTTTTCATCATTTAATTAGAAAACATGAAGCGATTGAAAATGCAGGATAATGGTGGCCTGGCAGAAGGCTGTCACAGAGTTCGTGCCAGTGTCATTTAGTGACTTCAAAACTAACCACAGCAACCAGGGGTATACTTGGAAACAAAAATAAGTAAATAAAACTGATCCTTTGGGCTATGGTGGTACATGTCTTTAATCCTAGCACTCAGGAGGCATCAAAAGATGCCCATTTGGCTAGAGTAATTATCACTGTAGAAGTCAGGAAAATAATTCAGAGTGAGAAAGGCCAGTCAAAACTTAATTTCATAGTAAAATTTTAGCCTATTAAAGGTACGGGATTTTTATTTATTTGTATTTTATATTTTATATTCTGGCAACAGAGGAATGGGAGATGGAACACTGTAATGCCTTTGTTGAGATCTTCTGCAATCTTAAAATTGTGTCAGCCTTTGAGCTTTGTAGGGTTGGCAAGTGAACTGAATGTTCATCTACAATGTAGTGTTGTAGGTCACAAATGTTGAATTTCATTCACTTCTTATATTGAAATATTTCTATCTTTATCTTTTGCATTTCAATCAGAAATTTTACTCTTATGACTCTATTGATATATATATACACACACACACACACACATATATATATATATACACACACACACACATACGTGTGTATGTGTGCGTGTGTGTAAATGAATCTGAATCTTTATGTCATTATTTTCAAAAAGTTTTTTATGTTTGTTGGCTTGGATTGGTCTTTTGAGATAGTGTTTCTCTATGTAACCCTGGCTGTTCTAGAACTTGTTCTGTACACCAGGCTGCCCTTGAACTCAGAGATCCACCTCCCCATGCTTCCTGAATGCAGTGATCAAAGGCATGTGCGACTACCACATGCTGAAAAGTTATTTGTTAACTTAAAGAATATACTATCTTTTGTAGGATTGGGAAAATATGAATAAGGTCTCCAGATTCTGTTACTGTAGCAGTATTCAACTTCTTGATTTTGATAGTTATGTGCTATGGTTATTCTATGGACTGATTTCTTTTTCTTTTCTTTCTTTTTTTTTTTTAAGGATTTGTTTATTATGTATACAGTATTCTACATACATGCTATACCTATATGCCAGAAGAGGGCATCAGATCCTAGTATAGATGGTTATGAGCCACCATGTTGTTGCTGAGAATTGAACTCAGGACCTTTAGAAGAACACTCAATGAATGCCCTTAACCGCTGAGCCAGCCCCTGGACTGAGTGCTAAGAAAGGCACACTGACAGATTACAGAACATTTGCAGCAATGCCCCAAATAAAAAAATAATTGTTGATTATATATCACTTATGTCTATTGTGAAAAATAGAAAAATTGAATAATATTTCATAATTTAATTAGGTTGAAATAACACTAGCACATTCATAAATCTGCGTTCCACAGATAGGCAAATGTGTAGGTAGATGGGTTCTTTATTTTTTATACAGTAGGACCATGGTATTTTAAATATTTTTCTTCTTGTGGGTCCACTGTGAGTGAAAATGTGTGAATTGTCTTTCTTCCTCGCAGCCTTGCTGTCTTACAGAACAGAGCTGACCATGTTGAATGGTGAGGTTGGTTTGGTTGTTTGTTTTGTTTTGTTTTGCACTAGAACAGTATTCAAGCTTATACAACATGGGAGACTGACACCTCAAAGTAATCGTAAGATTCAGTGTGTGTATCCAATCCAAATAGTTGTCGTGAGCAATTGGTCTTACTGCTAGCGTAACTTGTAAGTACAGCTTTTAGAACTTCCTTTGTTAATTCTATATTGATCTTCTTTTGCCAGCTTGAAAACAGAAGATAAACAGATTAATAAGAGTTTCAGATTCTTGTACAGTTCCTTACTAGATGATTTCTGGGAGTTCAAGAGACTTGTCCAAATTTCTTTAAATTAACTTATTGTTCTTATTAATCAAGAAAAGAGTGCTTTTATTCACTGATTCTTGGCAAACTATGGATACTGCATTTTTATTGAAGGCTAAATTAGAAGGAAAGATGCTGTTGATTATGACCCTAGGGAAGAGAGACACTAGCTTCATAAAGGAATGATTTGTGAGTTGTGTCATGCTTTTTCTTGGAAGAATCTTTAGATCATTATTTTGAAATTTTTTTTTTAATTTGAAAGAGATGGTTATCTTTTGGCATAGGTGGAGAAGTACAAATAAGGTTTCTGGATTCTATTACTGTAGCCATATTTAATTTTTTGATTTATTGTATGGATTCATTTAAGAAAATCATATTGAGGAAGTAAATACCACTGGCAGCAATGTGCTTTCTATGGTTAGGTGTTGTGTACATGTATAACTACATAGATAGCTGTCTGTGATAGACTGTTAGCAACTGGAAGGTCTTAGGGCTTGTAGGTTTGAAATCATTAAAAATGTAAAAGACTTTTTAAAAAGTCATCCAAAATGAAAGAATTTTGGTTGTTACACTCTAAGTGAAATGGCTGATTTTTCTATATCTAGGACATGTTTTTAAAAGGAAGATTTATGCTTTAACAATTAACTTTAAAAATAGTAGCCATGAGTTTTCATAGGGTGATGAATTTGGTTTCCATTTAATTTGGTTAACCTATGGTCAGAGCCTGCTGTTGCATGGCTGTCTGAGCCAGTATGTTAAAGAACATGAACAGTTGTGAATTTTTAGCTTATAAAGATTAGCTAATAACATGATTCTGTGGTCAGGTTTGTAGCCTGCCCTAACTCAGGTAGGTGAGTCTTCCCACAGATGCTGAGGGTAAGCCATATAAGGATCTGGGTCAATATGTGAATGAATAACTAACCTTTTCAAACCTGCCTCCCCAATCCCCCCAAAATGGTGATGGCTCTTTTGATGACGGCTCTTTTGGTGACAGGCACAGCAAATGGAGTTCTTTCCCCTCCCATTAATTTATTTATTCACTTGACATCCTGAGTGTAGCCTCCTCTCCACTTCTTACCCTCCCACTCTACCACCTCTTACCTTCATGACCCCCTCTGGGTACCAGCCTGTCCTGGCACATCAAGTCCTATCATAACCAAACTAGTTCTCTTCTACTGAGGCCAGACAAGGCAGCCCAGCTAGGGGAAAGTGATCTAAAGGCAGGTAACAGAGTCCAAGTCAGATAACCCCAGCTCCAATGGTTAGGGGACCACATGAAGACCAAGCTGCACATCTGCTACCTATGTGTAGTGGGCCTAGGTCCAGCCCATGCATGCTCTTTGGTTGGTGGTTCAGTCTCTAGGAGACCTTATAGGCCCAGGTTAGTTGCCTCTGTAGGTCTTCTAGTGGTGTCTTTGACTCCTCTGGTTCTCTCAATCCTTTCCCCTATTCTTTCACAAGACTCCCTAAACTTCCTCTAATGTTTGGCTGTTCTGTTACTCAAGACTACAGAATGGTGAAGCCTTGTTCAGGAGGCAGTGAGCTATCTGTGCTTCAGTAGATGCTACTCTAGTACTGGTAGTGCTGTAAGGTGTATAATCTTAGCCCCTTGGAGATGCAGAAATGAAATGGCCAGGAGTCTTGTTAGTCAGGAAGTGGCAAGGTGAGGTTTAACTCTAGTGTTTGACTGTAGAGTGTGTACTTAGCCATGATGGAGCAGACCCGACAGGAGAATTTGTATGGGAGGAAGCATTTGACTTTCATCTGTATAGGGAATGGGAAGT